ATGAGGTAGAGAAAAAAAGAAAAGCAAAAATAATGACGATGATACAAGATCGAACGTTGCTGCGAGTGTAAATAATTTTTTCGATCATAGTTTAATCGTCGATGATGGCGTAGAGAAAAAAAGGAAAGCGATAATAACGATAGAAAAAGAGAATAAGAAGCGAAATGACGACGAGGATTGGTTTAACGTGGAAATTTAATTCCACAATTCGAATTTTCAGCGGGGAAAAGATTGCTTTTTATCGTCTGGCGGTCAAAGTGGAGGGGAGGAGGATGGAATTAATTAAAGAATAACGAGGTTTTCGATCGCTGCGGATCGAACGGATCCACCACTCTTGCCTTTTTCGACGCGGGACGGGGAAACGTGATTCCGCGCGAACGAAGCCAAAAATCCGAGTCCCCGAGAATGAATCGCGATTCGAGTTTAATCGCGCGTTTCCATCTACATCGATTACAACAACCCACGATCCGTAACGTCGATACGCAGCCGTTACGCGCGCGTTTAAACGGAGGAGGAAGCGGTGGAAATATTTGTTGCGACGGGAAGTGGACGGTGGCGCGCACGCTCGTTTCGAATTCACGGCGTCCATCGCGCTGCCATTAATTTTATAATATCGACCGCGCGTCGCTAATTTCATCGTTAATCGTATCGCGTTATTGTTTCGTCTGGGATACGATCGGCCGATTTTATCTCATTCCCCAAATAACAGGGACAAAAGAAAGGAACAAAAATATTTTTAAATGTACGAAATATTGTATAAAAAGGAAGCGAGAATTATTTCGAATTATCGATCAAAATGGAGGAAACTAAGATCGGCTTTCGTGCGTATTCGAATATAGGGGAGAAGACTTTTAATGTTACGAATATTCGAAAATTTAAATTCTTCGAAAGATTTTATCGTTATTTCATTTTTTATCGTGGAAACTCATAGGTTTGGAAACCGGACGAAAACTCCACGAGGAGTTTCCCATAGCTGCGGTAAAATTCCTGAAACTCGTAGCGAGACGGACACGTAACCCAGCGCGCGAACTTGTCCCAACCCTTATGTAATTAAACACCTGTTCTCGCGGCTTGAACCGGTCAGTCACGTGTTACCAACTACCTGACTTCCTTGCCACAGTTTCTCGGATAGGGGACACCTGTTTCAACGATGGCCTCTCGAATGCGACAGCTGCTCTCAAGTCGTTCGCATACCGTTCCGCTCTCTAACGAATTTCCACCCGTATCTCTCTCTCGAGATTTATTAAAAAATGAATGCGAGACGGGTCGAATCGATCGAAATAACACCTAAATAAGATTTACATTAGGAATACGAAGAGAGTTTTATCCATAGAGATATGTTTAGTATGGAATTTAAAATGCGTTCGTTATTGTTCGTTCGAATGAAAAATCGAAAAAAGATGATTTTTTTTATAGATATATTAAGATATTAAATTGGCAGTTTTTTTCTTATGGCTTATTCATAACTATAGGAGAGCGATCCTTTCTAAAGAACTTTTAGTTCGAGTTTTAACGTAACACTTTTAAAAACAACAGTGTTATAAACAAAAGATTAAATTAACTTTTTTTCTTTGGAAAGATTAAATTATTCGAATATTTAAAACATATGTACTTACAAATTATTGAAAAAATAGCTTTGAAAACGATAGCATGTTTAAAAGAAAGATTGTAAATTTTTCCACTCTCGAAAACGAAAAAAATTGATTAAAAAATGCTCGAAGATTCATTCCTTTTTTCCCTAAAAACAAAAGACATTTTAAAATTCCACATTCTCCAAATGAAAAAAAAAAATCTCGAATATAAAAGAATATAAAAGAAAAAAAAAATTATTTGAAATCTCGAAAAAAAATCATCGATTAATTAAAAGAAGAAGAAAAATTTTAAACTCCTTTAATTCTATCAAATAAAAGAATTATAAATATTTATCAAATACTAAAATTCTCGAAATAATCTTTTAATCGATTCGTCGTTCACGATCATATTTCATTACGTTTATTACGTTTCATGGATTATACCCGCAGCGAGTAGTTTCTTTGTTCACGGTAGCAGGATCAGTTAATTCCAAGAGTGGAAGTCGTGCAACCACTCGACGAAAAGAAGTAGGACGTTTACACGAGTGTGGATATCTCGAAAGAGAAGAAATTCAACGTACACCATTTTGCACACAAATCCTTATGGAAATACTAATCTACTTTCAAAATTCTTACTTGAATTCTCATTA